GTTAAACGAAAAGCCATATAGCAGCATCTAGGTAATGTGAAAGCAACATCTCTAGGCAAAAAGAGAGAGAATGTGTGTTACAAAGCAAGAATTAGGAGAAGCAGATGAAGACATGATTTCTGCATCTGCTGAAATGCATGGAGAAACGTTCTGTGGAGTCAAGGGGAACTGGCATTCTCTGGCCCTGGTAGAGCTTTGGAGGACATGACCAAGGAAGAAAAGGATGGAAAAGCCAGCAGAAGGATGGAGGCTTCCTATTGTGATCCAAGCAGGGTATCTGCCAATAGAGGAGAACAGAATCAGAATACAGACTTAATTGAGGGGTCCCAAAAGCAAAAGCCCTTGACTGTGCTGACCACAATAAACTATGGCAAGTTCTTAAAGAAATGGGAGTGCCTGACCACCTTATCTATCTCCTGAGAAATCTATACATGGGACAGGAAGCATTAGACCTGGATATGGAACAACTGATTGGGAAAGAAGTATGACAAGGCTGTATATTGTCCCCCAGCTTATTTAACTTATATGCAGAATACATCATGCAAAAAGCTGGACTGGAGGAATCCCAAACCGGAATTAGGATTGCTGGAAGATATATAAACAACCTCCGATATGCAGATGATACCACTCTGATGGCAGAAAGTGAGGAGGTATTAAAGAACCTCTTAATGAGGGTGAAAGAGGAGAGTGCAAAAAACGGTCTGAAACTCAACATCAAAAAAAATAAGATCATGGCCACCGGTCCCATCACCTCCTGGCAAATAGAAGGGGCAGATATGGAGGCAGTGACAGATTTTATTTTCCTGGGCTCCATAATCACTGCAGATGGTGACAGCAGCCATGAAATTAAAAGACGCCTGTTTCTTGGGAGGAAAGCGATGACAAACCTTGACAGCATCCTAAAAAGCAGAGACATCACCTTGCCAACAAAGGCCCACATAGTCAAAGCTATAGTTTTTCCAGTAGCAATGTATGGAAGTGAGAGCTGGACCATAAAGAAGGCTGACCACCGAAGAATTGACACTTTTGAATTGTGGTGCTGGAGGAGACCCTTGAGAGGCCCCTGGACTGCAAAGAGAACAAACCTATCCATTTTGAAGGAATTCAACCCTGAGGGCTCATTGGAAGGACTGATCCTTTGGCCATCTCATGAGAAGACTCCCTGGCAAAGACCCTGATGTTGGGAAAGTGTGAAGGCAAGAGGAGAAGGGGACAACAGAGGACGAGATGGTTGGACAGTGTCATAGAAGCTACCAACATGAATTTGACCCAACTCCAGGGAGGCAGTGGAAGACAGGAGGGCCTGGGGTGCTCTGGTCCATGGGATCATGAAGAGTCAGACAAGACCTAATGACTAAACAACAACAACAACAACAGCAAAAAGTGGTTATCCTAATGGTCCTTGCCATGGGAACAAAAGGGGTGGAATGTGTGTTGTTGTTCTTTTAAAAGAAAAGAAAGGCTTAGACACTGGAAAGTTCTACAGTGATTCTATCAGGCCAAAATCTTGGGCTTTACTCAGAACAATGAGAAAGATGGTTCCCAAGTGCTGCAAATCTGACTTTTTTCAAATAACTGAAGCCATGTACATTGTCATTTAAATAGGATGGCCTCTTTAATACCATTACCTCCATCCAAAGATGGCAGCTTGAAAACAATTCTTTTTTGGATGAAAAACTTATCTTTCTAATTGTATCTCCTCTAATTAGGACAGAAACTACTAAACTGCATTTTGTATATTTTAGCCACGTAATATGTTTTATGAATTGGTTGTATATTTTTAAACTGTGTTTTGTTTATTTTAGGCATAAATACGTTTTATGAGCTGGTCACCCGATCATAATAAATAAATTCAATACTAAACTGCATGACCAGGTTGAGGATGAAGGGTGGTCTTATAGGTAGGTAGGCTGGGCAGTCAGCGAGGAGCTAACAAGGACACCAAGCTGAGCTGAGGGGCAGGCCATAGGGCTGAACTGCCAGGGTGCCAGGCTGAGCTCAGTGGCTGCATTTTATTAAACTTATAGGCTACACTGAATTACCAGAAGACAGGAACTGCTACAAAACCAAACAAGCAAGCAACCATCCAAATGAATGAATGAATGAAGTGGCAATTACAGTTTTGCCATGTTTTACAGTGCACTGCTGTAAAAGCTTTAGTTTGTACGTACTATATATTTTATATATAGTAAGGTAAAGGTAAAGGTTCCCCTTGACAATTTTTGTCCAGTCGTGTTCGACTCTAGGGGGCGGTGCTCATCCCCGTTTCCAAGCCATAAAGCCAGCGTTTTGTCCGAAGACAATCTTCCGTGGTCACATGGCCAGTGCGACTTAGACACAGAACGCTGTTACCTTCCCACCGAGGTGGTCCCTATTTATCTACTTGCATTTGCATGCTTTAAAACCGCTAGGTTGGCGGGAGCTGGGACAAGAGATGGGCGCTCACTCCATCGCATGGATTCGATCTTACGACTGCTTGGTCTTCTGACCCTGCAGCACAGGCTTCTGCGGTTTAGCCCGCAGCGCCACCACGTCCCTTATATATAGTACATACATACTAAAATATATTTTAATTGTTGTAAGCCGCCCAGAGACCTTTGGGTAGTGTGGGTAGCATATAAGTTATATAAATAAATAAATAATAAATACTACAGACCGAGAAAGCAAGGTTTTCCAGCCATGTTGATCTTAGTGGGTTGCCATCCTTTAAGAACCATCCATATCACATCCTATATCCTGAAACTGGAGCAGGAGTGTACTCAGAGCAGTGAAGAAATTAAGAGATAGCTCAGCCTGGATCCTTTCCATGGACATTGTAGGTGAGAAGTCTGAGCACAATAGTGCATGTTACTCTACTATGTTTTGCAGTTCTGCACAAGCTATTTAGTAACAGAGCAGCTGGTGAAATTACAAAGCTGCAGGGTTTCCCAGAGAGACAAGCTGGGCAATTTAACTCATTATTACCTCACAGAACAAGGGCTCCTTGCCTCATGTATGCCAGTAGACACTTCTCTGACTACCAGACCGCTCACCAGAATTCATGATATTTTGTTTGTAGTTTCCATAAAAAGAGAAAATGATAAATTACAGTATGAGATGACCCTGTGTCTCAACACATTATTGTGACATAATGGGACCTCTTCTCAGCCACAAGGAAGTAAATATTTTACAGAGTGGTGTGTTAAACAGAATAGATGCTAATTCAAAGCATAAGTGATTGCTTAAAGCATTGATGTGCATTCAGTCTGACAAAGAACATGTTAAATGAATTATTTTTGCTCCTTTGATCAAACTGAGAGTGGCTGTAAACTGCATCCTTGCAAGGCTGTAACAGGGTGAGGTGTCTGCTTATTATCTCAGCTTGCAGCTCAGGTGTAAGGGAGTGTAAACCGATCATGGTCAGGTATAATTTTTTCTTTTTGTCTGAGCAGCCAATCATAGGCTTGGCCCTGGACGGGTAAACCAAAGTATATAATTTATTGTAAGGAGAGAAGGAACAGGAAAGGCCTTAAGGAAGGGTTCTGTGGTACAGCGCATAATCTGTTATAACAGAAAGAACTTCAGGCTTACTGAGGAAAGAGTTCAAGGAGCGAGGGATGAAGTGAGTAAATACCATTTAAGATTCCAAAGAAGGTACCGCTGGAGAATAATTTTGTGCAACATATTGCCTCATGCTAGCAATTATTACAAATAATTCTGTTACTACTTTAGTGCTAACATAACCATATTCTCTTTTCTATCACAATAATTTTTTCTTCTATTTATTTTGTTAACAATTATTTGTTTTTATTTATTTTGTCAACCTTATTTTGTTAATAACTAACTACTGTAGTTCTTATCCTTTCAGAAAAATTATCATGGTGCAATTTGATTTATACCACATAAATGATCAATCCAGTCCATTCGCCACCTATACTTAAACCTTACTGCTTTCCAGACATTAATAACAAAAACCAGTGATTATTCAGATACTCAGAAATGAACGACAAGAAATAAAAGATAACATGAAATCTTCTCACATCACATCCCCAGTTGGACTTCCAGTATAAACTGTTGCAAAATTTTGAATTTTGGTTATATTCCTTTAGCTGACCAGCAGAAGTGCAGGGATTTGCAGAGGAGAATAGCTTCAAGTTCCCCAGAGTAGACCACCTCATTTTCTCATCAACTGGCACTTCCGGCCTCAATAACTCACTCTGAGATATTAATAGAAAAATAAATAAATGGTTTCATTTATAGTAGAACAAATTGAACAGCAAAACTAGCAAGCATAACTGCTTTCAGAAAAAGGCCTCAGCATACTTACTGATTTCTTCCAACTAAAAAAGGGGAAAGAGATCTGAGCAGAGAGGTGGGACTCTCTTTGAAATCAGAGGCAGGGAAGGAACAATAGGTTAATGCTGGATAGATTGACAGTCACTCTAGCCAACAAAGGTTCCTCCAAGCCACATCTACTAGAGGCGGCATGTGAGGCTGCAAAAAGAATATAAACAATATTGTCTCTTCTAAAACTGCATTGATTTACAGATGTCCAATATAGTCCTGGTGTGAATAGACAAAGATAATATTATCAAAATTACTTAAAGTTCCAATATAGAACAATGTTCTTTATGTATACTAGCAAATATTGTAACAAGAAGTATGTTCCCTATAAATCGAGATGACTTCAAATATTCACGTCTATACTGTACTCAGAACCAAAAGATTGAAAAGAAAATATTGTAGAATACCCATATTTTTTCTATTAGAAAAAATGACTTCTTTTCTATGAAATGAATGCTCTTATTTACTTCTTTACAACATAAATTCTATCCACCTGAAGTCTATAAATCTAAAGTCTTTTATTACCAAAGTCTAGAAAAGCCATTTTGGAAAGAAGATATTTGGGCTTTATTGTGTAAAACTGAATAAGACAGCAAAATCTTCTGCTGTCACCACAGATTCTGTTCAGGTGTGGAATTGAAATGGATCCAATTACAGTCATGGGAGAAAAAAAATAATGGATTGCAGAATCATGCTTTATTTTTAAAGATGTATAAACCATTTGGACTATATTTCCTTCTTAATATCCAGTACAGTTTACTTGATATTGAAGAATTGTTGTGAAGAATTCGTGCCCTGGAGAGGACACGCCAGCTTCGCGGACAGAGTCAAAACACTAGGCGTTGTTCCAAGTCCTCCATACAGAGCACGTTACCATAGTCTCTCAAGACTGAAGGATGCCTATGAAACAAAACAAAACAGTTTTGTTAATATCCCACAAAACTGCACCAGAGCACAGACAGAGTTCCGACTCCTGTCCTCTGAAGATGCCAGCCACAGAGACTGGCGAAACGTTAGGAAAAACAACATTCAGAACATGGCCAAACAGCCCGAAAAACCCACAACAACCAAACAAAACAAATTTTATTACAATTGCACAGTTATAAATAATTTAGAAACTAAGCAGAATTAATTAAAAACACAGTTGTTATACACCTCAAGTCAAGTCACATATATCGATACATCAGAAACATGTTTCAATATAAACCTGGGGAAATCTAAGTAACAATCTTTACTATGAGTTATTAATATTCTGAAATTAGGAACATAAAAAGACTTACAAAAATTATGTCTAGTTAAGTCAGTAAGACCATAACTGCCCTTGTTTTATGGCTGTACTAAGAAAGGAGGCACACACACAGGCCCTGGTCACACAAGGGAAATGTTATGTAGTTATCCACCAGCTATGTCAGTATTATTATTTTTTCCTAGTCACACGAGGCAGGGTCAAGATCGAGACATTTCCCTGGCTAGCGGTGTAACTGCAGAACATTTCCCCATCGCCAGGAGGATTGTGTTACGTATGTTGTACCTTTGTTGTACCAGTGCATTCCTTACCACAATTACCTGTGTGCACCACCTGCCCCACATCTTTTCAGAACTGCAACCAGGAAGGCTGTCACCATTGCTGCAGTGGGCACATTGTTATTGTTGTTGTTATATTAAATTTGTGCCCGATACATCAATATGTCAGTAAAAGTATGTTACTGGAGGGCTGCCACCATTACATTACTGGTGAGTAATAAAAATTTTTTTTCCTGTGGGAAGGTATACTGAAACATTGGTATGCCAATATCACCAGGGGGCAAGTGATCGCCACTACTGCTATGTGGATATCTCAAGTCCATTGTGTGCAATGCATTTCTGCAGGAGCAGCAGTGCAACAGACACTTTCTTAAAACAGAAATTCCTTTCCAATCAATGTTCCCTCTAATTTCCACCCACCCCTTGTGCGTGAGATACCCCCCCACACACACACACACAAACATGGGTTTCCGTTGTGGCCACAACAAAAGGTACTGGAAACTATAGTTGTGGGTGCATGGGGGGGAGGAAAGCTGTGCGGGGGAGGGCAGAGTCAAGCTCACTCGCGCAGTCACATACCTTGGAAGGAAACCTGTTTCTGATATATCGAGGTGTCAATAAATAAATATATATAAAAATCAAGTGGCTAAATTGCCTCTTGAAGCAAGAGAAAGAATAAACCAGTACCATGGTGTAGCCAACCATTACTATTCAAATAGGAGGAAATAAATTGGTATTGCTAAAAGTTCTTGGATGTTCGTCTGAGAATATAAACCACATGGCCATGTTTCAGTACAACAGTGGTATGGAAAGTATTGGAAGAACTAGAAAATATTCCCCTTGTGTGACCTGAGCCATACCAGAAGTTGATAGCTGCTACCTGGTTGTCTGCTTTAAAAAGCAAAAAATTATGGCTGAGCAAACAACTGCCATTATAGTAAACATCTTTTCTTATTTTTCACATAATGAGCTGTTGTCCATAGTCACTTGCTAGAAAAGTCCTTAGATCCATACACGTTTTATGGAAACGTTTTTATGAAAATGATCTGCTACCTGCTTAAGAAGCACCTGTGAAGGAAAAACAGCAATAGGAATAACTGATTTAACAAGAATCTCTCTTAATTTAGTAGAGTGGTAAACTAACACACCAGTTCCTGTCATCACAACAGCCCCTTCATACCCAAATTCTGCCTCCCTGTCAAAATTAGATAGATTGGTATTGTTGTTGTAGATTAGTAAAATTTTCTAGTGGCTTTTTGTTTTATCCAACATTATAAGAATCCTTCTAATGTCTAGTGAAATTGAGATGCTAGATTTATTGTTATCTGCTTAAATTAGCAGCTTCTACTTTAACGGAAAAAACACATGAGTTTTTCCACTACAGTAGCTGTATAAAAACCATGCATTACTTTTTCTCTTGCAGTGAGGTAGCTGTTGCTGTCTTCAGACAAAACAGAAACACTCTGCGTCATCCAAGTTCAGAAGGCCTTCAAACATGTTTCCTTATCCTAACCAATTAATCAGCTGAACATTCATTTTCCACCTGTATTTATCCTCCTAATCTTATTTCTTTTGGCTGAATTATTCAAAACACTGGGAAGTGAACATGAGAAGAGCCCTTCTGGATCAGAGATCAAAGGCCTATCTAGTCCACCATTCTATTTCCCCACAGCAGCCAACCACATGCCTCTGGGAAGCTCAAAAGCAGGATATAGGGGCAATAGTTTTCTTCTGCTACTATTTATTAGCAATTGCTACTCAGACATACACTTCCTTTGATTTTGGAAGAATGTAGCCACCATAACTAGCATCCAGGGATTAACAACAACAACAACTTGTCTTATTATTATCATCATTACATGTGATCAAGTTGATTCCAACACATGGCAACCCTTGTTAGGGCTTTCTAGCTATAGAATACTCAAAAACGCTTTCCCATTCTCTTCTGGGAGCATCCTGGGATGGTGCTGTTCACTCAAAGCTACACAGGGTGACTTTTCACCCAGAAGGCACAATGGCAGATTGAACTCTCACATCCTGTCTCTGCACCCAGGTATCCAACCTACTGAGTTATCCAGCCTATTGAGTCTAAACCCCTCTAAACTAGTGACCATTACTACTACTTGGGAGTAAAATCCATGCTTAGTCCATTCTGAATCTTGCACCATAGGGTGGTCACATGAAATAGAGGACAGAGTTACACAGGACGAAACTTTCTCTTCCACACAGTTGTTAAGCATGTGGAATCCTTGGCCTTCATTTCTTATTCAGCTTCATGTACTGCCTATAAGTTAAAACACTCACATACGTATCACCAAAAAGAAAAACATGTATCACAAAAAAAGGAGAACAAAAAGAGCATTGATTTGGATAAAGTTGCTTTTGTTAATCTAGGTATACAGATGCATAAATAGAAATTATTTTTGTAATTCAAACAGGATTACATAAAACACCTCACCTCATTTAGAAAGACTGTGACCATTTAACTGTCCACTGAATTTGCTGTGTTCCATGTATTGATTAACACTTCAATGGTCACTGATTTCCCTCCAAAATTATTTGAGTGTAAATCAGATTTGGACTGGCAGGGCTATCAAATGGAGGACATCTTCCAAAGTGGAAGATCAACCCCTCACCCCTAAAAGAGGACATATGACCACCCTATCCCCACGATATATAGATACCCAGTGTGGTGTATTGTATAGAGCAATGGTGGCGAACCTTTTTGGGCTCACATGCCCAAATTGTGGGTGGCACAGAACCGGAAGTGGTAGCAGAAGGGGGAATCCCGGGCATGGAAGTGCCTCAAGACCCCATTCCGGATCTGCCGCCAGCACCAGGTGCTCCAGATACTGACGTGCCTCCTGTCCGGACACCAGCACCACAGTTGCAGCCACCTACTTAGGTTTGGCTGCAGGTGGGGGGGAGTAGCAATCTGGTGACTTATGGCTTGCGTGCCGGCAGAAAGGGCTCCACGTGCCATCGCTGGTATAGAGTGATGGACCCTAATATACCCTTTCTCATCAGCCACTGGCAGCTCAGAACCCACCGGTGCTAACACTAGCATTTTTCTGCCCCGCTCTAGATGATCTTGTGCTTATGCTGGACATTTATAGTCACCCTTTCTCATATCCTGGACTGTGCAGCTAAATACTACTTTAGGTTTCATGGTGCCATTCTCTTGAATCCTATGATTTGTGGTTTGTTGTGGGCCTTAAGGTTTCGCTGCCACAGAGCTGTAGTACATTCCCCTCTGCTGGAGCACTAAACCTCCCTAGCACAGAATTGCAAGCCCTTCACCAAACTACAAACCTCAGTATTCCACAAGATGCAATTATGGCACTTAAACTTCAATCAAAGTGGTACAATACCATACGGCATATACACATTTGGAGAGATCCTCTTGTTGCTCTTTGCAATCTCTTTTTGTCACCACGTGTGGCCACTTCCCTGCTCAGCTATAATTCTGAAAAAATGAAAAATTACTAATCCCAACAGAGATCCTTAGCAGAAACTTGTTCCTTACATCCCTCCATAGTCAATTGCAACTTGCACTCACATCCTCAGTGACACTATCAACATTGCTTTTTTAGAATACATGTATTTGTTTCCCTTCCAACTAGTTGGACCATTTTAATTCCCTCAGAAGTGTGCCAAATTGAAATGGATTTAAATGAGCAATTTGCTTAGCAGTGCCAGTCATTTCGTTCAGCAAAACCTTCTCTGTGACAGCACTGTCACATTGATACCATGTGTCCTCTTAGCTTGACAATAGATACTGACACAATTGTAGCATAAATGAGCCAACGTGTGTAGTATTGCATAGTATTTTCCTGCATCCATTTTGTCACTCAGCATCCCAACTGGGTATTCTGCAGATGAAAACTGCAGTGGATAAACTTCGTACAATAGGGTGATTTAGAGAATTGAATAAAAGGCAATTGTTAGCATCTATTGAAGAGTGACACTGGCACAGCATAGGCCTATTTTATCTGTGTAAAAGTTAGGCTTTAGCAAAGTATAGGCTAATGTAGTATCGGCATTTAGTGATGACTTGCATTTGACTCATGGTGGATTTCCACAATCATACAGATATAAAATTATAAAAGCTTTATCTTACAAGGTGTATCAATGAATGCAAAATGATTATTTCCAAAGGTCATACTATTCGCAAAGAAAGCCTGGATCTTTTGCCTTAGATTTTGGAGTTCCATTTCTTTTGTTCTTCTCCGTAAGTGCCTCAGTGTTAGAAGAAAGAGTACATTAATTGCAATTACAAGAAACTGCTGTGTCTCTTTTTGCAAAGTCAGAAGGAAAAAAAATTAATCAGTGGACATTAATATAAGGTGCTATTAAATTACATTATTGCTGTAGCTAATCAGCGGCAAAGGAGCAGCAAATGACATTGGGGAGAAATCAGACCTGGGCCTTGTGACTCTGTTTTCTGCAGCACAACATCCGGGACTGAATAAACAAGGGGTGGTGGTGGAGGATCTGCAGCACAGCGCATCTTTACTCAGCAATCCGGGACTGAATAAACAAGGGGTGGTGGAGGATCTGCAGCACAGCACATCTTTGCTCAGCGTCTGAAACACAGATGGTTAGAGGGTGTTATTAGAACCAGTCCTTTTGGTCAAAACACATATTCAGGACTGTATAAAACAGTCAGGCAGAGATAACGCAGGAAAAGAGACAGAAGCAAACTTTTTTAAAAAATGGAATAAAAACATCTGTTTAATGAACGCAGCCTTTCTCAGTCTTGGAATCTGAAGATTATCCCCAGCCATCCCTAGTCATGATGAATGGGGTAATAAGAGTGGCAATCCAATACAACTGGATGGTACCATGTTCAGCAATGGCTGGTTTACAGTATGAGAGCTTATTTTCCAACCGGACATGGGGGCTTGAATATCTGCTGAGATGAGCTGCAAGTTCTCTCAGGTCAACATTATACTTCTAGGAGAGAAGAGCAGCTCTTTTTCCCCACACCCAGTGAAAAGTGCATTGGATCAAGCAATATTCTGTTCTCAGTCATATTAGGGATGAGCCACTCTTCGACCTTGCAGCAAGGCTCGTCCTCCTGCCTCCTGCCAGGAGCGGCTTGTAGACCGCGATCTCCGGAGAGATAGGAAGGGACAGCGGAGCTTGCGGCAACAGCAGAAGGCAAGAGCAGCTCTTTTTCCCCACACCCAGTGAAAAGTGCATTGGATCAAGCAATATTCTGTTCTCAGTCATATTAGGGATGAGCCACTCTTCGACCTTGCAGCAAGGCTCGTCCTCCTGCCTCCTGCCAGGAGCGGCTTGTAGACCGCGATCTCCGGAGAGATAGGAAGGGACAGCGGAGCTTGCGGCAACAGCAGAAGGCGAGTGGATGGGAGTGGCTTGTAGACCGCGAGCTCCGGAGAGATAGGAAGGGAGAGCGGAGCTTGCGGCAACAGCAGAAGGTGAGTGGATGGTCCAGCCCCAGGGGGCCAGACCCTCGTTATGTCCACCTGTGCAGGATATTCGTATATGAATACTCCCATCTCTAATAAGGATTAGTTGAGTTGCCAATCGCTAACCAAGAGGAATCCAAACACCAGGAGAGTGAATTAGAGTTGTATAAGTTTTATTCAAAGTCATGATATAAGGGGGGGGGGAATGAATAAATTCAAGAATACCACTATAACACAACATAACCAATTGCAAACATGCCCAACATAGGTCTGGCCATGAGTGATCTTAGGCTGTTTCAGAAACTGCAAAGATGAGGCATGAGATGGGGTTAAAATACAAATATCCCAGGCCCAGCTGCAACTCATGTGGGTCTGACCCTCGGAAGCAGTCTGTCCACTCACGCGCTGCCACACCACCAGTGTCCCAATCGTGGAAGTAGCTCCTCTGTCTCCCTGCTCAGCTGGACACTCAGCAACCGTGCGAGGATACGTGTCATCCCAGCCCCTCCCTGGAGTGGCCAGCCAAGCAGGGAGATGGCAGAGCTACTACCGTGATTGGTGGGAAGAGTGGGACACTGGCAGTGCAGCGATGCGTGAGTTCACGGGCTGGTTCTAAGGGCTGGACCCGCATTAGTTGGAGGTGGGATGGGGATATTCTTATTTGTAAAGGAATACAAATATCCCCATCTCTAGCTATGATTGTTTGAAGGGATCTGACACCTCTTTATTCCTGACTTTTAAAGAGACTTGTATTTTCAATTCCAATTGCCATGCTGACTTCACATTACTTACACTGAGATCTCAATAATTACGCCAGATTCTGAATAATTGCTAGGATTTACTCTTACCACTAAACAAAAAACCTGCTTAACGCATGTTATCACAGACAGACTGAACCAAATTGCTTAAAGGAAAGAAGTGATAAAAAGGGAGGTCATGTGCTAGTCATCTGTCCACGCACGTGCTCCAAGTCCTTTTTCTAATTTAGGGGACAGGACTGAAATAATATTGTCTTCCTCAAAATAGATGCAAAGACTTGTTTAGGAGCTAAGAGCATATTTCTTGATTTCCTGTGATACTTGGATATCTGCTTTCCTGAAGAGGAAGCTGAGGCAGGAGGTAAGCTGTGCTTGGGGGGGACATTTTATTTGGTGAGGCATTTTCTTCTAGGCTGACCTTTGCTCTCCCTGACCACATGGTCTGAGGAGATGGGGTTTTAGCTTTAAATGATTGCAAGCAGTAGCTCTAAGCCCCTTTCCTGAAGAGGAAGCTGAAGCAGGAGGTGAGCTGTGGTTGGGGGAGGAGACATTTTATTTGGTGAGGTGTTTTCTTCTAGGCTGACCTTTATTCTCCCTGACTGCGTGGTCTGAGGGGATGGGGTTTTAGCTTTAAATGAGTGCTGAGGCCAATGCACCTGAACGATGGGAACATTTCAAGATTGCTATTTATAACACCGCCTTCTCCACATTTGGCAAGAAGATCAAAAAGACAGCAGACTGGTTCAAAGCCCATTTGGAGGAGTTGATGCCAGCCATCGAGGATAAGAGGAGAGCTCTAACAGCATACAAAGCCTGTCCTAATGAGTACAACTTGCAGGCTCTTCGAGCTGCTCATAGCAAAGTCCAACAGGTTGCCAGGAGAGGTTCCAATGATTATTTACTTCAGCTCTGCTCCCAGATACAGATAGCAGCGGACACAGGTAACGTCAAGGGAATGTATGATGGTATCAAGCAGGCTTTATGTCCAGAAGAAATCTGCTCCCTTGAAGTCTGCCACAGGCAGGACATCCAGGACCGAGCACAGCAGATGGAATGCTGGCACTACTCTGATATATTCCAGAGTGAATGTAGTAACCGAAGAGGCATTAAATAACATTGACTGCCTGACTGACTTGGAAGAGTTGGACAGCGAACCAACTTTAGCAGAAATAAAAGCAGCCTTGGATTCCCTCGCCTCCGGGAAGGGACCTGGGAAAGATAACATCCCTGATGAAGTGCTGTAAAGAGATAATCACCACTGAGCTGTATGAAGTCTTTTGTCTTTGCTGGACTGAAGGTGGAGTACCACAGGACATGAAGGATGCAAACATCATCACATTGTATAAGAACAAAGGAGACAGGGGCAACTGTAGTAACTACAGTGGCATCTCTCTTCTCAGCATTGTAGGGAAGCTGCTTGCCCGTGTTGTGCTGAAGAGACTCCAGGTGCTTGCAGACAGAGCGTATCCAGAGTGGATTTTGAGCTAATAGATAAACCACTGACATAGTATTCTTCCTCAGACAGTTGCAGGAGAAATGTAGTGAACAATGACAGCCACTCTTTGTGGCCGTCATAGATCTCACAAAGGCTTTTGATTTGGTTAGCAGGAATGGCCTTTTTAAAATACTTCCCAAGATTGGATGCCCACCTCGGCTCCTTAACATCATCAGGTCCTTTCATGAGGAAATGAAGGGCACTGTAGTTTTTGATGGCTCAAAATCAGATCCCTTTGACATCCGAAGAGGAGTGAAACAGGGCTGTGTGGCAAGGTCTTTAATCTCTTTAGATTGAGAGCAAAGACCAAAGTCCAGCTGAAATGCATGCAGGTCTTCCTCTTTGCCAGTGATGCAGCCTTTGTTGCCCACTCCACTGAAGACCTACAACCACACATGAATCATTTTAGCAAGGCCTGCCAAGACTTTGGATTAACAACCAGCCTAAAGAAAGCACAAGTCATGGGTCAAGGCATGGACTCACTTCCCTCTATTACCATCTCCACGCAACAAATTAGAGGTTGTTCATGACTTTGTGTACCTAGGCTCAATGATCTCTGACACTCTCTCCCTAGATGTCGAGATGGTTAAACGCATTGGCAAAGCAGCTACCATGTTCTCTAGATTCACAGTGAGAGTATGGCTTAATAAGAAGCTGACGGCATATACCAAAATCCAGGTCTATAGAGCCTGTGTCCTGAGCACACTCCTGTACTGCAGTGAGTCCTGGACTCTTTGTGCATGGCAGGAGAGGAAACTGAACACCTTCCGTATGCGTTGCCTCCGATGCACTTTTGGTATCACCTGGCAGGACAAAGTTCCAAATAGAGTAGTCCTAGAATGAGCTGGAATTTTTAGATTGTATACATTACTGAAACAGCGACATATACGTTGGCTCGGGCATGTAGTGAGAATGGCTGATGGCTGGATTCCAAAAGATCTCCTGTATGGCAAATTAATGCAGGGAAATTGCCCCAGAGGGAGACCACAGCTGCGATACAAGGATATCTGCAAGTGGGATCTGAAGGCCTTAGGAATGGACCTCAACAGATAGGAAACCTTGACATCTGAGCGTTCAGCCTGGAGGCAGGCGGTGCATCATGAGCTCTCCCAATGTGAAGAGACCCTTGTCCAGCAGGCGGAGGTGAAGAGGCAGTCCGAAACCAGCAAAATCAAGGAGCTGGACAGGGGGCAAACTATATTTGTCTTCAGTGTGGAAGGGATTGTCACTCTTGAAGTGGCCTTCTCAGCCACACCAGATGCTGTTCCAAGTCCCCCATACAGAGCACGATAGTCTTTCGAGACTGAAGGATGCATCCACAAAGGGACATGTGCCATGACAAAACTATGGTGTCAGTGCTTCATAAGCAGGCTGTCAAGCAAACAGTTTTCCCCTCTATCAATAGTCCTGTGTGACTTTTACATAAGATTTTAAACTGATAGATTTTATATGAGCTATCTAATATTTATATGCTTGATCACACCCAGTTTTATTTCTATCAAAAGTAAATGGAGGTTCCTGCACATGGAGCGGTAACTGTTAAAATTTTCTAAAATCTCTACTGCAAGTACAGACCTAAATAAACTTTCAAGACAAGTATCTTCACCCACCAATTGAAATATCAAATTATTAGAACAGATTCATAAGCTACAAGTTTCGCTATTTCACTACACCAAAATCCACCTACTGTACCTAATCCAGTATTGCTTCTGCAGAAACACTTGGTTCAACTTTTTGGACATTCAAGGCATAAAGATATTGACTAGTCATTCACATTGATATTCAAATATATAGTTCTGGCGTACATGAAATTTCCCTTTGGCTACTG